TTTTTGCTTCTAGCTTCCCTCTCCGAGATCAGCATCCTGGTCATCGCAGTAGTCAGCGGCTGCGTGCTTATACTGATTCTCCTCTGTTCCTGTTTGGCTGTGAAGTTCTACAAGAGGAGGCGCATGGGCGAGGACTTGGAGATGAACGCACAGGAGCCCAAGCACAAGGACCCGGAGCCTAAGCGCAAGGACCCGGCGCCTAAGCGCAAGGACCCGACCGTGTGGTGAGGGCCCACAGGGGCCGCCGCCTCTCTCCTGCTCTTCCTCTCGGGACTGATGTGGCTATTTTGGGAAAGAGACTAATCACAGCTTGAGAATGTTTTCTTCCACGTTTGTTCCTCCAATGTGAACCTTTTGAGCTTTATTTAAATGTCTTTTTGCAGTGTTAGATATTATGTATCACAGATTTCTGCGATTCACAAAATTGCTGTTGGACTACATATGTTGTTGTTTTAGTGACGCTGCCAAGTCGGAGATGTGAATATGGAGGAGTCATTCTGCTGTTCTTGAAATAATCTCGGTTCACAGCAGCAGTTTTGATCACCTGATCTTTGTCATTTAACCGGAAGTCGTCCTGAGCTACAATATAAACACAATGACTGTATTTGCGCTATGCTCCAGTGAGGTCTTAAAATACAAAGCTGTTGCTGCGAATTTAGTCACATGCTGTCTTTTTGGCTGTTTTCAAGGGTTGAAATCATGATATGAGCAGATTAACATCCTCTGGCTTGTCAAATTTTTCCTCTTGGTCGGCAGCTGCGAGCCAGCATGTTTGCATTTTGTACTTTGTGAATACAGGTGAAGAAACTAACAACTCCAGAGGCCAAACCACAGGCAACCATGAACTGTCTTTTGCTGGATGAATGCTCATGTGGCTTTAAGTAGTTTTTTTTTCCCCTCTGCGGTAGGCTGGCTGGGTCAAGCTGAGCATTCTGGGTATTACTGTACAATCCACTTGAGGCTTATTGCTTATTTGCTACACTTTCCAATAGCAGCCCATCTCACATGTTGTGTATGTGTCTGTGTGCACTTGCGTGACTGCTGGGCTGCATCAGTAAACCCGAGGAAGCGGTTCATCTGACTCTAGCGAAGGAGACACTGGAGTTTGATAGCTCTGATGATGAAGAGTCTGAGCCTAGCAGCGGAGACGATGAGGAGGAGGACGGCAGTGAAGAAGAAGACGACGACGACGATGACGATGATGACGATGACGATGATGATGATTAAGTCGGGCACAGTTGGGTAAAGTTGTCATGACATTACCCCAAGCATTCCTGTTAGACCCTTGCCAAGCGCAAGTACGAGCGGTAATAATTTGATCCGTTTCTTATCTGGATTACACCAATTTCCTTGAACCAGAAGCCCATTTTTGGTGAACAACAAAATTTGCAGGTACAAGAATGAAGCCGTGACCAACCAGGGGACAGAAATGGCATTATATGGCCTTGCATGTGAGATGGATGTTTTTAGGATTGCTCGATCTCGGTGTAGCATCTGTGCTCCACAGAGGGCTAGTCGCAATTTGTGTAGTGGTGTCGTTGGGTTGATGGTTGTACCGTCTCGCTTTTTTGTTCAAGGATTGCCGCTCTGCTCAAGCTTCGTTTGGCTGAATTTTCCCACCGTTGCTGCTGACGGGCAAGTGATGTGGCATCATTTTGCTTCTGTTGGAACAAGCAGAGTTAATGCGTTTGCGATCACTACAATTATCTGCTGATTAAACACCCCCACTAACATACTACCAAGCACCATTTTTCACTTTAATAGTGCTGGTGAAAACTTAACAACTGTTGTTTACTTCTGTATTATGGTAACATTGCAGTTATGATTTTGTATTTTGATTTTGTACACTATTTCTTTGTCTAGAATGTTATTTGTAACTATAATAAACTATTTGAAAGTATGACATGAACCTGTTTTATGATGTGTATGTTAAAAAAGAAATGAATCCCGTATGATTGTCGACATCAAAATAAGCAATTGTTGAGCTGTCACCATGAAAGTGAATATGTGAGCTGTATCCTTTTTTTTTTTAAACTGAAGGAAAGATTATAAATGTGTACACTACACACTGCAGCAGCAGCCTGTCAATCAGACGCAAGCCGGCTTTTCTTTCTTCCTGTTCCTCGGTTTGGAAGAGTTCCCACTATTGCTGCGTTCACCGAACCCAGTCAGAGAATGAGTGCGGTGAGCCTTCAAACTGGCCACATTATCTCTCAATGAGAACACCACATCCTGCCAACCGCTCATTACTCCACCTCCTACCGGATAACACCACCCTTTCCCTACCTGGAAATGTTGGCGTGGAACCACAACATTTCTCAGAAAAGCAAAATAAAAAATTCAACTGAGCTCAATGTACAGCTGCCTGATGTGCCGATAAACTCAAATGACTTTTTGTCACACAAATGCAACCTTGCTACGGCAATCCTCAAATTAGTCATAATAGGACACTCCAACATGATTTGCTGTACTTCAATGGCGTCCTAACTAATAGTATCTGTGTTGTGGTGTTGTAACAGTTTAAACAATGGCTGTTTGAGAACAAACAAGATAGACAATATAACAATAAATACAGACATTTCTGTTTTTGTTTTTTTTAAGGAAATGACCAATATTACTGCAGCTTCCTGGGGAGTAGTAACCATCACCTTCTCCATGCCTATCGGTACGTCTGTGTTCTACTGTCCCCAGGTGGTCGAGATACACACACCACAAAGAGCAGCAGTGACACAACCAGGGGGCAACGGCCTCATATTGAACCCTCTGCATTAGGAATGTGAGTCAATTCATATGTGAGTAAAGGCAGGTGAGTGAATACATTTGGTGGTAAAGTGTATCTTAAAACGTGTGCAATGTATTTCGAAACACATCTCAAAAATCATTTTCCATTGTCTTTACATTAAAGTAATTAACTGTGTCTCATTGCGGCTTGCTGGAACGAAAGGTCCGTTCAGGAATCTCCCGGAATTCCTGATGGTCACAGCGCCGCTGATAGCGACCTAAAAGCTCACAATAATTAACAGGAATCTGGACGCCGGCTCTCAACTGACAATGACTAATAAAGTCTGGCTATGGTGAGCTAAAGCCTTTCATCTGTAATGTCCTGCAGTGAAGAGTACATCAATCTTCCTCGCTGATGACTGACCGCGTGTTTATTCTAAAGGAACCGTCCCGTTATAAAAAATGACTGCAGCACTCTTGTCACAATGCACTTGCAGCTGCATGGCCCGGATCACAGCGGAGCGCTGGGTGCCGAGTGACATAAATGAGTGTGACCTTTTGAACATTACATGGGATGTGCATAGATCATGATACACAAAATCACACTGTGTGTTTGTGATGGGGTCCACTCGAGATATGGCAAGCCCAGACATCTAGCAAATAATTCATCCTTACGAATGCTCGCCATGTGCTGTGAATCGACCCTGGGGCTGCATTACACAAGCCCAATCTGCACTGCAGAACTTTTTCCTGCTCATCACACGCTCTGACAAAAGTGCCTGCATACACAACCCGAGTCATCAGAAGGGGAGGGAGGTTGAGAGTGAACAGAAGAGGGAAAGGGAAGGGATATGGGGGAAGGTGATGATGGGGAGGCAAGGGGGGTGGGGGGGTTGAGGGAGAGGTGGCACACAGCCAGTGTAGAGGACAGGCAAAAGTTGTTAGATAGCCTGAGAGGTGAGTAGGAGGAGGAGTCAGCTGCTTTGGGGGTCTCCACTGGTGGCGTTTCCTCCCGTCCGGCTGCCTCTCCTCTCCAATTGTCTCTCTAGCCGGCTGCTCCTGCAACGTGGCAGCCGCTGCAGTGAGAGTGCGGACTGACGGATTCTCCTTGAATGAACCCTGACGGTGCAGCGCGGTGAGAGTTGGCCGCTGAGCCGCCTCGCTCTGGACCTCAGTGGCAGAAGCAGGTAGGCATTGTTAACGCTTGAACTTGAACTCACCAGTCAGTCATGTGTCGTCTTTTTTTTTTTTTTTTTTTGCAGGTTTACAGTTTGAGGATACTTTGTAACTTTTTCCTCAAAGATGTCCATCTGATGTTTTATGAGTATCCTCACTTACTTTTAAATAGTTTAAATTGTCTTTTGTTTTCTTCAGAGGCGTCCGGATTCTACCCGGGAAACTGCTGAGGCTGAGCTGGGCTGAAGGAAATTTTCAAAAGTCAGGTTTGGATCTTGAAGTGGTTTAGGGTGCAGATTTTGCATACACATGGAGGTCCGTGGGATCTGGGTTGATGCCCTGAGGCTGGGCCTTCCGCACACAACCCTTAACCTGATCGTCGCAGTACTGCTTGGTAATGCCAATTTCAAAATAGCATTTTGTAATTATATATTTATCTCATCTGACCTTTGTTCATTGATGTTGACGTGCTTTGCATTATGATTGGGGCATTTTGTTTTTAGGGCTGAAATTTGTTTTAACCCTTTCAGGGGCAGCGGTTGCTACAGTGGACATCTGATTGTGTTATCGGGTTACAGGGTGCATGGAAGGGTTAATTTGAAGTTAGCTGCTAAACTGAATTCAACGAACCAAGTTTTTGAGGGGCGGATGTGGCCGGGACAGACTACCGCATTTGGAGAGCATCAAAAATCATTCTGCATTAATGCCCAAGATGCACTTATTTGTTTTCAATTGGCTTTGCATTATGCATGGGGGCGGTTAATGCGATGGTACCTCTGGGTGCATTACACTTGTTAAGACCCAGAGATGAAGTTCAGTCAACATCTGAAATGTCTACGGGTATGTTTGTAGGAGCCAGACCTAAATGTCAAGCTTTACTTGATAATTCTCAATTTTCTTCATTTTCTTTCATAGTCCCTTGTCAGAAACAAGGCGACGGCAACTCTGACACCAAATGATGACACTGCGCTAATGGATTGTGTGTGTGGTAGACGTAATTGTCAACGCGGAGGAGTAGGAACACAGGAGAGGTGTTAGTCGCGCTCCACTCTTACTGTTACTATTTTTGCAAACTCACCATGCACCATCGCAGAAGAGGAATTGAGATAGCGAGGGTGCGATGTGAAGGAATCAATAACAGTCTCTCACATACGACCTCCTTCACTCTCCCTATTTACTGCAATGATGCTCGACCTCATTTTGACCTTGCGGTTGTTCAGGAGCAAATTGTGACTCGTGCACCACAAACGGCATCAAAAGTTTATTACCAGACGCATGCACAGCTATTTTTCTTTTTTTGCGCGTCTTCAGCTTTTTTTTCTCTCTCTGCGTCATTGCACCCGAGCCTGTAATTCAGCACGAAGCTTTGTCAGCATGTAGTTTACACAATACACACTAGATGGAAGCATTATTCACTTTTGTTTGACTTGATTTATCGTCCAGTACAGTACAAGTAAATTTGTGAGTCAATCGAGTCGTCATAATTAATGCAATGTTTATATTGGGACATTTTTGTTGGGTCTTGTCATTGTGAGATTTTTCTCTTGTAAAAGGAAAAACAAAGTAGGCTCATTAAAGGGGTGGGGGAAACACGAGGTCTAATCCTAATGTGTTTCTTCAGTTGTGAAGTCCGCTGAAGCCTTGGAGATGTCTGTCGGCAAGGTGCCATTCCTCGAAGCCGTCAACGGCAGCACAGTCATGTTGCCCTGCACGTACTCCAGCTGCATTGGCATCGAGAACCTTTATTTTAGATGGCAGTTCAATGAGAACGGAACCATGCAAACGGTAAACCCTTCGACACGACGGCGTGGTTTTTGCTATCGTGTGGTTTTTTTGGGACGGTTGGCAGCGTTTTCCCTTTGCCGTCAGGTGTGTGACGCAGTGATACCGTCAGAGGGGGTGGTGCCAAAGGTGAAGATGTATAAAGAGCGGTTCGAATTTGTGGGGATGAACCGGAAAAACAACATTTCCATCTTGTTGTGGAACATCACCTTTGAGGATGGAGGCCAGTACACTTGCTTTGGGCGCAACCCCAAAGAAAAGGAGAAGAACCATAGCGCCATCTTCAAACTCATTGTGGTGGACGAGTGTGAGTGTGCCACACTTTCCTTGTAATGAAGGGCGAGGTTTAGGTTGTCTAGTCCTGTTTGGATCAGGCATTGCACTACACACACATACTGTACACGCTGCAAGTGGTGGTGTTGTTTTTTGTTTTTTTTTAAGAAAAATATATTGTTAAATATTTACACTGTCCTGTTCGGCTACTTAGTTGGTGAATCTGTTTGTAAACCGTTTGCTGTGCATCAGGGGAGCTAGATACTGTGGATTAAAAAAAAAGTCAACACACCCCTGATCAAATCATTTGAAACCTTTTTTTTTTATTTTACCATTGATGTGATCTGTAGCTTATACAATTGTATACAGTTTACTGAGTGTGTGTGTGTGTGTGTGTGTGTGTGTGTGCGTGTGCTTGTAAATAGGATGTGGCTGTGTTCAGTTTTAACCCATCACACTCATGTGAAGTGGAAGCCAGGACACACTTGCCACCATATTAATCGCCTCTGATTTACTTAAAATAAAGTTGAGTTGTTCTAGTCGGCTTTTCTTGACATTTTATTTAGTTTGTTTTCAAGCAAAAACCACACATTAAGAAATGACTCCTTTTAAATGCATTGATCTTGTAATCGATTGTATAAATCGGAAAGATGTAAAGCTTTTTCATCATTTGATCATTCTGTATCGGACTTGATATCTTGATTTGCATTGATCTATATTACAAGGAGTGACTCCTTTGTTTTCTGCAGTGCGGGAGGTGGACAACACACTGACGATCATCATAGCTTCTGCTGTTGGCGGAGCTATTGCGCTGCTCATGGGCTTCATGCTGCTGAAGAACTTCACTCTCTTTGTTCTTTCCAAGCTTGAGGAGAAAAAGTGAGTTCTTTGTTGTTGTTGTTTTTTTGCGTGACAGACACTTTGGCATTCATCAGGAAAGCTGAAAATTCATGTTGTGTCATTACGGTGAGCACAGCGTTGCACCCGACACCTCCATGAGGTCTGATCCTGATGTTTGAGATGCCGTTGGTGTCTGTTCTTCTTTTGAATCCCTTTACTCCCAACTACCCCGCCTCCTCCTTCCCACCTCCAACCCCCGTGCAGTAAGGAGTGCCTTGTAACGTCATCAGGGATCGACAACACAGAAAATGGCCTCTCAGGATCGAAAGTGGATTCGAAACCCAAACCTACAAAACAGAAATGAGGACGTGCATGCGTTTGAAACCTTACGAGTGCTTTCATGTGTAGGTCCTCATTGCAGAATTGTACGATACAACCAGGATATGTTTGGGAAAAAAAAAAAACGTGCCTGCCTGGCTTTGATTTTCAAATGTACATGCAATGCAAAGGACATACATAAGATTTTAGATGCATTTGTCAAGCCTGCACAGTTTTACACCTATAAGATTTAACCAAAGGCACCTAAATCCAATATTTAGACTTCCTATGTGTCAAATTTAATTAATACTCCGCGCTTTTCCACAAATTCAAAAGCACACTCGTTTATTTTCCAAGCACATATACGCTAAACATGGCGTTACTCATCGTTATCATCACTGAAGGGACATTTGTTTACACAGCAAGTCATTTAATCGTGAATGTTTATGATTCAAATATAAAAGTGGTTTAAAAAGTCTTGGATTGTGTGACGCCATGCAATGTTTGTGTGTATTACAAATGATACTCCAGTTCCAAATGCAGTGCAAACGCATTCATTTTTCATTCACCAGAGAAATGAAAAACAATCTAAAGTAGCTCCAGCTAGGTTAAATCTCTCTCTCTCTCTTGATCGTTTGCGTGATAACACATAACATAATTGCTTTGGAAATTGGCATGTAAAATTTTACGTGGCAATCAAAATGTACCTTGAAACAAATGAGAGGGCCCCTCTACTTTCTTTTCTTTGCTTGGAATAAAGCTAGTGCCTGCTTGTTGCATCTTAGTTCCTCCCAAAGTGCGGACACTCTTCTTGCAAGTATTACAAAGATAGAGATGTTATCATTAGCTTCTCACTTGAACTAGACAATCCTCCCAACCCCAGTGAATGTCTCACCAATGTTGCTGCTTTTATGAAAAACAACTAATGCAATTCACGCATGTGATATGAGTCGGCATCTAGAACACTCCAAAAAAACCAAAACTAGCTATATATTCTATATACGGTGAAAGTCATAGCTTTAGCTCTTTGAGATAAAGTAATAAAAGCTAATATACTAGAAAATCATATTCCATTCCATTCCTGTGACCGTCCATGCATTGTCTGTGTCAAGTCTTGGTTAACCTGTCCTGCCCACTGTATTATTATTCCATGCCGATGTCACTTTTACAACTGTTATTTTAATAGTTCAGCAAAAAAAAAAACAACAACAACAAAAAGAATAAAAACCTTGTCCTGCGAATTTAAATGAACCTCCATGACCATGTGACCAAGGTCTCATATTGCACATATAGTGTATGTAGCACCAGTGTTCTACAGATTAATTGTGCCAAGCAAGGATAATCAGAAGATGAGCAACACATCAGGAGATGAATGTACAACTGTTATGTTTTATGTTTATGAAAGTGCACATTGAAAAGATGACTTCTGGAGTGTGTGTGGGGGGAGGAGGGTGCTGGTGGAGAGCTAATTTCATAATTGTCCACGCCTGCAACGGGTGACTAATTATACCGTATCTGCATTATGTATATACTGTGTCTGCACAGCTCTAAATCTGTTTATTACTGAAACAACGAAATAAAAATGTGGAGCAAAACTTGCCTTGTTTTGCGAATATTGTCAGGGCATGATCAATCTAAACCAAATTCTCACATTTTTTACACCAATCACCACCTCAGAAATAGGAAGTTCTCCAAGTAGAATGGCCAACATTAAAATACAGCAACATTGGAGGCCTAAATGTCTTCATAAAAATAAAAAAAAAAAAACTGGATGTTTCTATTCCAATAAATATTTATTATTGAAAGTCATTAATATTATGCACTGTTGGGTTATTCGATGATCATTAACGTTGTTGACAGGTTAATTTTTACCTTCTGTCATCTAGAGGAAAAATATTTAATTGTTCTGCCTCTCACCATACTTCTGGCACGAACAAGGAACAGATGTTACGATTTTTTTACGTGAAATTGAAAGATTTCTCACAACAGTGGTTAGTAATCAGTGCAGGGAATACAATACAACAGGGGAAACGACACACCCCCCCCCGAGAGTGCAGTCAAAATGCCTGCATTGACGACCTCAAACTCCTTAACCAGCTGTTGTCAGTTAAGAATTTGTACTCATGCGTCTGATGATTCATTGAGTAGACAGCAGCGCCCACCTACTGGTAAGAAAGGCAAATGAGTGTCCGATATCGTTATTTATTGAATATATGTGCGTTAGCTGCTGTTGGCAGACTTTAATTTTCACTATGTGGAAGACACAAAAACTTGAGGGACTTTTTTTTTTTTTTTAACGTAATGGAACTTTTACCAGTCCGGCATTGCTTGTGAACAAAGGCGTAATGTGGAACCAGGCGTCATAACAAAAATTAACAAAAGAACCATAGGTCAATAACCGGTTAACATTAATTTGATTGGTTTTTCACAAACTCCGAAACAAGTTAGTCGCGTTGTTAGTGGTACATTGTTGACATTGCGCAGTTTCATTGTCAACCAGCAGATGTCAGCAGTGTGTTAAATTTTGACACTCAGATCTGCTGCTATTCAGCTGCGTGCAGAATCGTTTGAATTTGAACTTGGCGTTTCCTAACCTATCTTGGGCCGACGTGGCACCGTTTAGAGTAGATTTTTTTACCACAAATCACCAAACTAAAATGTATACAAACTCAAATGATGATTTTTCTCGTGTCATTTATCACTCAGGAATTTACTTACTCCGGGTGAAACCTGGGCCGATTGAACATGAACTTTTGTTGTTACAAAGGGCTACAGGTGCACACACAAATACAGTAAAATGTATATTCCGCCATCTAGTGGAAGAGTATTTAACTGTCCTGCTTATCACTTCAAATCGCTGGCATAGAAAAATTGATCAACAAGGCTACATTAGTTCCAGTGGGGGGAAAAAATAGTTTTCAGACAGGTTAAGTGAAACAGTTTAATTGCACTGCCGATCTGGCGGGAGAGAGAGAGAGAAAATCATGAGATAAATTAAATTAGCACAATGATTAAGAGCATGTATTTTTACCGGAATGGTGGTAACTTTCAGTGTAAAAACGGTCAAACCATCGTTTAGGTTTCTGTAAATGAATAAAAAAAACGGCCATGCGTCGGTGAGTTTAAGCCCAAGTTGCACTGGACAAAATATTTTGTTACACTTTCTTCTTTTCTTGACACAACAGTAAGACGATTGTGTTTTTCAAAAACACATTTAGTTTAAATATTCAATGAGCGGGGCGTGATCTAGCCTTATAGTTACATTTATTAAGACACACATGACACCTTCACATTTGGTGTTTACATGTCAATTATTATTTTTTTAAAACAAAAACAAAATACAGTTTTGATTTAGCAACGGTCTTATTTTTTTTTCTTTTTGCACCATGCATGTGCACAAAGCTGCGCTCCATTCTCACTGCTTTCTCCACAAGCGCTGCAGAAAAATACCTTCTGGTATCATGTAACGGAAGTCCAGATCGTCGAAACAGTCGTTTTTAAAAAAAAAACATTTTAAAAAGAGGTAAACGTTAGTCCCACGGAAGGGCTTCGGTTCCAACACGTTGCGCGTCTTGTCTTGGTCCACATTGCGCAAAGAGACGCGGCCATCCTGCCCTCACAGGTGGGCGCTCTCCCTTGGGTGTCAAGCGACCCAGCGCGGAACTTTTGGGGCACTGAAGGACCAAAAGCCCACGATCAGACCGATATGAACCCCGCCTCGACTAGACCCGATCCACTCGCTCTGTGGAGGGCGGTGGATGTTGGATTTGTGCGCGCGCTAGTCCCGGTAAGAGAGGAGGGACTTGGGCGGGGCTGAGGCTCTTCTCCTTTCTCATCCATTCTTGGTGGGTCGGCAGGGCTGGAGAGACCTCCGGGGAGCACAGTCGCCAGTCCAGCACGGAGACCCACCTGGCCCCCCAAAAAAGAAAAAGAAAAAAAATTAAGAAAGCCCCCCTCTCCGCGCCTCACGCTTGCCAGGATTGCAAATATCTCCAAAAAATATACCTGCTATTTATGGCATGTGGCTTGTAACTTTACTCCTGCTGTACTCTCTCCAAGAAGGTAAGACAAAATACAATCTTGGCATTTCCATGGAGTGAATGTGACAGTTTCTAAGTTGATTAAACAGCGGCCATCTATCGAAGGTGTTGTGAATGCATTAATTCGCGATGAGATCCGAGGCTTCCGCTTTGATGCGTCGTCTAATTAAAGAGAGAAGTCTGATGCTTTTTTTTTAACCCCCAAATGTAAATGACTGCTCAAAATGTGCTTGTTTTGAAGAAAGTGATAATGAAGTGTTTTTCTTTTGGGTGCGGGCTGTGTGCTTTCAAGCTCGGGCCCGTGACGCCTGGATTGTTTTTCGCTTTACCAGTTGGGATATGAATATGTAAAATGGCTGAATGGAGAGAATGAGGTGCAAATACAGCGAGAGCTGGAAAACATACAAATCATGCAAATCTTTCAATCGATCCTGTTATCGCAACGAATTCGCTCCATATCTTGCGCTCTTAAAGTTTTTTACAAGGCACGCATGTGGTTTGTAATGATTATTTTCCACTCATTGTGCAGATTTTGCTAATTGCAGCTGTTTTGATAAGGCCGTGTCCAATCGCTCCTCCACAAAACCGGTGATTTCCATCAGGGTCTTTTCAGCTGTTTAATTATTTTTCTTTGAAATTAGTGCCATTTTGTCGCTATTAGTAATTTAATGATGAACAAAAGGCATTTCCTTGACAACGGGCTCTTTTGGCTACATCGGGGTAAACCCGCATAAAGGCCTTAATTGGTGCAATTAGCAGCTTTGACGGTACACCGTTGAAATTGATTTGTAATGCGAAAGAGGACCTTGTTGAGTTAAAATAAATTTATTTTTCCCCCTTCCCTATGAAATAAATCCCTTGCTCTGCAGCCAAGTTGATCCTGCGCTATTAAAGTGCTTTATAATCTGGACACATCTGCATCGAAAACTGCAGAAATTAAGCACCATCTCCACATCCGGGCCTTTGTATCAACGAATGCGTGACATTAAAAAAAAAATTAAGATGTGATACGTCTGCCTTTTTCTTTATTCTACCTTAATTAATTGCAACTAGAGATTTCCTCCCTCATGTCGTGTAATTTTTATTTCATGCAACTGACTATAACAAAGGTCCTCTTTATTTATTTATCAACTGGAAGGAGGAATTAATGAAGTCACGGTGCCCCTCGTGCATGTGAATTTACGCAAATGAGGGTGTCCACACACAGGCAGGGGAGCTGGGCCAGATTGTAGACTTGCCCGGTCATGTTCCTCACTAATGGCGCACCTGGACCACCAGACGTGTTCGCGCGCCTGCCGGGGCGCGCGCTCGCGCGGGCGCGTGTCTGTCGCGTGCGCAATGCCGCGCGGATGAGAACGGGGGCACCCTCGTTTTGCTTGTTGTCAACATATTAGGCGTAGAGAAACTGAAAGGCAAGTTCATTTGTCACTTTTTAGCCTTTCAAGATGCGGTAGGTGGAAAAACTATACGCGCGTCACAATGCACGCGCGTTTAGCAGGTAGTGGAATTAACAAGAATTGGTTAAAGCGCAATTGATAACAATTACTAATTTGAAATGTTAAACAAAACTTGTAAGCTTGTATATGCGAAGAACGAATCGAAGCCAGTTTGACATAGTGCAGCCTGCTTCGTATGGGCCCTCTTTTTCGGCGCCTATTAACACACGAGCCGTTCGTTCGGAAGTAAAACGGAAAATGTGAATTTGAAGTTGGCGAAGCAATAAGGTGATCCTTCACCGTGGCACGTTGGCGTGTCCCCCATATGCAGCTCAACCTCCACAAATAGAAATATGCTAAATTCGCCCTCCCTCCCCGCAGTCCAATTCCCAGTGCTGTCTTTGCAAGGCTGCACAATTAAAGCTGCAATGTGAGCAGTAGGCACCGCTCAATGACAGAGCTGACATTATTCAGGCGGTTTTCCATTCCCACAATTTCAATCTGATGTTTTAAATAAAAAAAGATATTTTTGTACAAGGTAAAAATGAACACGTGTGGGCCAATCTCGATGTAGATAACTGGTTATGAGGATTTCAAAGGGACAACTGTGTGTGCCTACAGAGATACATTTTTACCATTATGTTGTGCCTGTTCATAATCACAAATTCTCAGTTTAATTATCAACACAACTGTCAGTTGTCTTTCCAGGGACAACCCAAAATTAATAGCCGCACTGTAGCTCAGCCCTGCTGCTAAGTTGAGAAGTCAAAGACTGTCACTGCAGGAATCCATGCTCAGAACATCATCGCATTTCAAAGTTAAAAGAACTGTTGATGGCAAACTTGCGTTTTCAACGATGTAACAAAACTCAAATCGTTACACCGTGGTTGGCCCGCATCCTTTTGCATAGATGCATTCGGCAAATGTCAAATCTGTGAAGCAAGTGGTTGTTTTTGTTCGATGTCCCTCTTCATCGCTCCCTCCCACCACCGTTTCCTCCTCTCGCAGCAACTCCCCTCCCTCTCTTTCCCTCATCACTAGGCAGAATTAAAGGCTGGGGGGGAGGGGCCATTTATGCAGACTGTGCTGAGACTTGTGATCCGCAGATTTGATATTCACATTAGGAGAGAAACTGGCTGCTTTGATGTGAGAGGGGGGCAGGTCCCAAGGGACTGCTGAAGTAGCACACTTTTTTTTTTTTTTTACTGACACAGCACAGGCCTGGGGTTGCTTGGTGGGGTGATGTTGTTGGGGGGGGGGTAGCAGATTGTTGGGGACAGGGTGTGCAGAAAGACAGTAGGTGGGAACTGTGATATCCCTCCGTTGATTAGATGTAGCCCCAACCTCATCCCCCTCCTACTTCTCCTCCCACCCTCCACCTACTTACACGAGACCCTTGAGGATTATCTCCAAGCTTACACCTACCTTTATTTCTTGACATCCCCCAATATTCAATTCACACCCCTCCTGACAGAGTCTCTGTCCACTTTGCCCTCCTCCGTTTCGGTTTTCTACACATTATCCACAGCCTTGGTCTTGCACCCCATTTGTCAAAACCACACAATCGGAAGTTAGTTTTCCCATTTTCTGTCATCCAAATGATATGGAGTGCACAGAGACTGGCAAACGAAACAAAACGATGCATTTTAAATGCCAGGCCAGTAGTTGATTTCATTGTCAAGAAACGCTATCTGTATGCACGCCGACTGCTTTTAGCATCATTTTAATTCACCTTGGTTTGTTTGTAAAATAGGGATGAGCATAACAATCGACTAATTAACTCCTAGAAGGTCCCACGCCATCAAAAAAAAAAAAATACCAACTGTTTTATGCAGAACGTAGAGTCGGCCAAGTTTGACATCTATGCAGTTTGTAGTTTGCATGCAACAACCTTGGAAAGGCAAAGGCCTGCAAAAATGCTCAGATGTGAATTTGTCGCCTTTGTGACATCGATTCTCTGCTCCTTATTCAACTACCTGCTCACTTTGTGATTGCTACACGCCCACTCAATTCTGGGGGGGGAAAAGTGGCTGAGTGGCGACAAAGCCCAAAAATTTGCATCAGCTGCCAAACTCACAAGCATTTCGAAACCAGGATTGTGTTGCGTTCGGCCCACTTCAGGGATTGTTCCTTCAACAATGCAATATTTCCAACCCTAATTATGTCGCGAACCGGATTGATAGATTTTTTTTTTTTTTAAGTTGCGATGCGGCACCTTGAGGATTGAAAAGACTGGTTGATTGTGCCGCACGGCTTGTCGATTGATCGTGTCATGATGCAAAATAGAGTGCGCTGCCTGTTGATTCAGTGTCCACCACTTTGCAGTCCAACCGCATGACAATGAAACATCTCAATCTGGTCGAGTTGTGACACTCCCCCCCCCCCCCCCTCCCTTTT